AGAAATCCCTAGATGGCCCACTGAGATCACTATTCCCATAGATTCATTACCAATTCTATAATATATGAGGGATAGATGACTCACCTGGTTTGCAGAATTTACTCAAAGAATTTCTAATCTGACAAAGGACACCCCTTACAACATGATGCTCCCCTAAGATAGATAATCTCATCTATCTTTTGGTTGACTCACTGTTCAATATATAGATGATGACTCACCATTCAATAATTGATTTTAGTATCTACTCTAGTTTGGATTAATTAATAAGATACAAAGAGGACTAGGTTAGCCCCCATTCTTCAAGTCTTTCGGGCTAGTTTAAAAACATGGCTCTTTAGGCAGGCCTTTGACCTGTTGCAATCTATGGCCAGATTCGAGGATCCACCAATTGCGTCACTTTGACCTGTTACTGTAGACAGCCAGCTTTATTCGCAGATTCTAGTGCGTTTTAGGAATTTTTCAATTTTATCAGATCAGATTTTATGTGTGTTTGTTGTTTTTAAAGGGTTTTTTTTTTTGCTTATGTACTATTTGTTTGTATGAGGCAATTCATAGTGCTTCTGTGAGCCACCCTGAGTCCCTTCGGAGATTGTGCTTAGTCTGAGTCCCTTCGGAGAGATGGCATCAGGGTATAAATAAAAAATGGCGGTTGTTATTATTCTTATTTTTATTATATGAAGAATGGAATGAGAAAGCAGGTGGACCTTACATAAATGCATCAAAATCAAGGCTGAAAGAATTTCCAACCTTGCTAGAAAATTTTACCCTCATCTAACAGCTCCTTCTAAATTATCTAGTCACCAGAATGCGACATATCTAGACCACAGGTACTGATAAAGCTTGTTTACAGATCAACTGACTCACTCATGTACCTTAGAAGACATTACATGGAAACAAACGAAAAATAATGCTATATGCAACCTATTTACTCAGCCCTTAGACCATGCTGGGAGTCATGAAGCCCTCTAGATTGTGTTTGGATTTCAGCTCTCAGTCACCCTAGATAGCGTAGGCCAAAGTGAAGAATGCTGGAAGTGACAGTTCATCAAGATCTGGAAGGCCTCATGATTCCCAAACCTAACATTAAACACAACACTTTAGCTGACTCTGCCTTCTATACTTTTCCTCTGCCCTCAACTGCCTGCCAATTGCAAGTCCTTAGCATTTGTTTTCCAACAGTTCAACATGCTCTATTGTTCAAAATGAAATGTAGTCAATTGAATATTCTCCTTGTTAGTAATAGTCACAAACTGATTCACTAATGGAAGTCCCACAAACCCAAAGGAAAAGAATTTTGAGATAATGGAGATAAAGGCATTTACAGACATAAGTGACTTAATCTTTATTTATTGGGCTTAGAATTTTAAAATGTGGTAATTGGGGGTTTGTTTTCAATAAAATTTGCACATGGGTAATTTCCATAGAAACAGAAAATATTGTGTGCAAAACAGCATTTTCTGCAGGGGAATCAATATTTCTGCATTTTCACATATATATGCTGTTTGGACTTATATTATCTGCATGAAACAACTGCATGAGAATTGTGTGCATTGTAAGTTAATCATAGTGTATAGCCTTTGAAAACTATGACAGCATGAAAATGCTAAAATTTTTCACTATTAACTTTGAGAAGAAACTTAGTGAAGATTTACATCCCAACTTCACTGGTCCAGAATATGGCCATCACATGGTTTTGTTGAATGTAGAAATATCATATCAAATGGCTTAACACTGGAGATGAACTTGCAACCATGAGGCATATAATTAAAATACAACTCTCTAAATGCACACAATGCCAGTGTGATATTATCACTCACTGTCAAAAAGCTAGGAAACCCAAGTCATTTACATATTTTCCCAAAAAGGACCGTCTTGCTGAAATTAGATTTTTGTTAGCTCAAAGCAAACAATTAAACACTTTTCCTTTTGTAGATTAAGCAAAGTAAGTAATTATAGAGTCTTAATAGGATTTTCCTTTGCTAGAGTGGTTAGGAATAATTCTATTTTTAACTATAATTAATAGTCATGTAGTAGTAATAATGAGCTGGACTGAAAGCTCAATAATTAAAAGATATTTCTATGTACTTCTGTGGTGGGGCAGAGTGGGTGTAGACAGTAAAGTATGAATGAAGTATTGTTTTTGAAACAAAGGTTATGCCTGTAACTCACAGATTCCATCAACTTAATCACCATCTTCAGTCAGTGAAGCAAAAACAAACCTGGTTTTAATACTGTGGTTTGTAGATTCTGTGGAATCTCAGAGGTAAAAATCGAAATAATGTTTGGACAACCTTTCTTGGAAGATAAGTCTGCCCACTACTACTGATCTTTCCCAACAATGCATAACTTTGTGGCAAACATCTTGTTAGTGATGTATTCAAGCTGGAGCCCACCTTATTCTTTTGTACGCCATTTTGTTTGTTTTGTCTCTTGTTGAGGCTGGCATTCACCTTCTCCTTCTGCAATTAACAAGGCCCTTCCCCACTTCTCAGACTTTTGGTTTTCTGCAATAGTCCTGGACTGACTATGGGTCAAAACTAGATGCTTCTCCAATCTCTCTGTCCTGCAGTTCACCAGCTATAGAATGGGTATTAAGCGAGAGTTATTGCAGAAAAACTGGGAGTCCTGGGATGGTAAATGATTATTCATAGTGATGTTCAACTTGTAGAACTTTTACTCCATGTTGTGCAATGCAGAGTCTTCATCTTGAGTCCACAAGCAACAGAGTTAACTGAAACAGATCATGAGTTAACAGTATTCCCTACTCAGAATATATCTGGGGATCCTCTGAAAGGCATAGTATTTTCATGATGTATCTGGATGGAGAAAGAAATTTGGAGTCCCATCTGGGAGAAATATGGGATAAAAATCATATTTAAATATGAATGAGTGAATGAATGCAGTTATTTATACAGCAGAGCAAAGAACTGCAACCTAAAATAATCCTTATGTCCAATGGTGGCTGATACTCTGATGTCTATTGAGTTAGGCATCTGGTCTGAAGGCGGCAGAAAACTGGGGACACAAGAAAAAGCCTACTCAGTGGCATCCCATAGACTCTGGAGCCCTCTAACCAGGGAGAGGAGAAGAGTCCATTCTTGTATTTCTTCCATTATCTAGGCAGATTTTTTTTTTAAAAAAGTAGGCTAGATGATGCTATATTGACTGAAATGTTTTAGGAACTGTTTTAGTTTTTAAATTTAATTTTATTCTTTTTCATCTGTGTGAATTGTTTTATTATTGTATACAATTTAATTCTATTTTAAGAATTGGTTTTTGTATGTTTTGATTGTATTATTCTTTTAAATTGTGAGCCACTCTGAAGTCAATTTGGGGAAGTCCCAATGCAGTCTTCTTTTCAACAGAAGAAATGCTCATATGCCACTCAGGGAGCTGTGCACACACTCTCATTCCTGTCTTCAGAATCACAGGAGAAAATAGTACAAAAAAAATTAGAGGAACGGAGTCCATGCCCATCTCATTTCTCCAGGGTCAGCCAATGGGTAGGGCAAACAGATCGAAGTTGTGTAAGGGGATATATTCACCAAGGTCATCTTGTAGAAATATGATTTAAAGTGAAACAGTGATCGTGAATTGCATTTGGGTATTCATAGTATTAGAAGTCATACTGATAGCCACTCTATACAATGACGTGGACATTGATTAAAGAGAAGAGCTGCCTTTTTCTGACCTAAGGGACCTAAGGGACCAAGAACAGCCCTTCTTCATTTGAAGAACACTCCTGAATTTGACAGTGGATGCAAATAACTCAACTTTGTCTCCACTTACATAGTTTCTGCTAGTCTATTAGTGACTTGTCATATCATCTGTGCTTCAAATTCATCTAGCAGCAGCTCTAATTTTCAAATTTGGAAATACCTAGATTCTGAGCTCCAAGCTAAAGAAAAGCACACAGCACCATCCTTAAATGACTGTCATTTCAGATCACAAATGTGTGTGTATAGACCCCAACATACACACACATATACATATATGTGGTCCATATGTGAATGACTCATGAGTTTAAAATATGCAAAAGATACCTACCTCTCACTTGGATAATATACTATTTATGATGTATAAGTCAAGTTTTATATGAGAAAGTATTACAAATAATTCCCCCCACCAGCAAAACTGCAATACTGTTCAAGGGAACACTGACCTCTGACTAACTTGAATCACTTTTCAGATTAATCTCTCTATTGGGTTTCTTTCCAACATTTTATCTATCACTCAAATTTAATTTACCCACAGCTCTCCCATTGCCATGATGCTCTATCCCCATAGCTTTGGCTAGTTATTTTCTCAGAGACCTTCAAAACAATTGATGGGGAGAATCACAGTCCTACGGAGACAACATGAAAACATAAAAGGACAAAGGCATGACCGTGGATCTTGAAGAGGATTAGGAAGAGAATGTGTGGGGAAAAACAGCAGGCATGGTTGGACTTTGAGAGGGGTAATAGGTAAATCCAAAATTATGGGGAGACTGAAGGACATGACAACAACTTTGTCATCATATATTTCTTGGGAGGGCACATTTGAAGCAAGAGATAAAAGGGGGCATTGTAGGCTGAGCAGGAGAATGCTGAGAACAACTGGGAGAAAGTGGACGAAGAGAATGGGGAATTTTGGCCTGTAAGACTAAGCAGTAATCCCGATTTCTCTTTCTCCTAAGATTATTGTATAGAGTGTTAATGACCTCAGATGTGATGCTTGTTTAAGAAGAAGATCTGTCCCCTTAAATATGAAAGTATGTAATTAACTTCCATAAATTATATATATCTTACAATCCTCCATAAAATTTGGGATGCCTCCTACAATTAGTAGTATACAATGTATATTAGAATGCATAATAATAAAAAAGAAAATGTCACACATTTTCATTAATGCCTCCAACATTTAACACCAACCGCTGTCGATCAAAGGCGCTTGCCTGTTATCTCTTTCTCGCAGGCCTGCATGCAGTCAAAGCAAACCTTAATGAACTGACATCTGACCTTTTATTTTCTCTCAGTGCTTTGTCTCCTTTCTTCCATGAGATGGTTGGCTTGGGAGAGGCTTGGGGTTTGCATTCAACAGCAACTTCTTGGCCTTTGGTAATAATGATTGTTTTCTTCAGATGACTTGCAGGGAAAGTTGGAGCAGAAGCTGTTGAAAAGGGAAGCTCATTTTAGAAGAGAAACAACAAGCAAAGAAATACTTATTCAGGACTTTGGGAACATTGCCAAAGTGGATGCAAAATTAAAGTGAAGGAAGCATTATTTAAAGAGGGGTGTATTTTTCAGTGGTATTGATGTTCACAGTTTTTTGGAAAAGATTAAAAAGGGACAAGAAAAGTTATGGTTCTGAACAGAGTAAATCGGATTTTGAATTGCAACTGCATAGAAGCAACTACAACTATGTATAGATGATTGGCAAAATGTACAAGTTTTTGCTAAAGTTGAAAACAGAAGAAGACCAAGTGAAAGAATGTATGCTAAAATGAACCAGAATTGAATATAATATCCAGTTGGTATAATGAGAAAGGTTGTGGTAAAAACAACTGGGTTGTGTCATGACTTTAAAGAGAATTTTAATAAAATGATGTACCATTGGACACCAGAAAAATTGTGTAAAATATATAACAGGTTTCCAAAAGTGTGCTGGAAGCATGGACAAGAAGGGACACTGTATCATATGAGGTGGATTTGTAAAAAGGCAAAAAAGTTCTGGGAATAGAATAATATTTTAATACAATTCAATTAAAACTAGAACTTTTTCTGTTGTGTTTAAAGGAAGAAAAGATGGAAAAAATACAGTAGATTATTACAATACATGATCACTGCGGCAAGATCAATATATGCATACCGATGGAAGACTTCTGCACTATTTACAAAGGAAGACTTGTTACTAAAGCTGAATGAATTAGTAGAAATGAATAAACTATCTAAGTTCAAGAGGGATAAATCATTTGTGACATTTATGAAAGATTTTAAAGTCCTTATTGATTTTTGTGAGAAAAAATGATTTGGCATTTGTGGGTTTTGAGAGTTAGATGGAATGGATATCTGGAAAAGCTGTTTGATATATGAGGTACAATTATACGATCTGCATTGAATAACCTGCAAAGAAAATTGGAAGTTTCTTCCTTGATTTTTAATATTAGCTATATCTCTCTATAATCAACTTGCTTTCTTTCTTTTTTGCATTGTGTTTTCTGTTCTTTTTCTTTTTTTTGTTCATCAAATAGTTGTAGTCTTACTGTACTTTGAAAAATTAATAAAATAACAAAAAAGAAGGGGGAAATACTTTAGATGGCATCATTTCACAAATTACACACCATTTGGTTCTTTCTTTCTTTTTCTTTTTGAGGGTGAAGCAGAATTATTTTGGAAGTGCTAATAATATAAAAAGCCATAACCATGGAACAAAAAATACATCATAAACTAGAATATAACTCCAAAAGGGACATACTGGGGCACCAGTGAATCTAGTGGATTTACTTCTCTCTTAGCTCATCTTTCAGCAATTTAAGATATAAATCTATGTTAGGCGAGACTAGCCAACACCATTTCAGTTGAGAAATATAGTAAAATGCAGTCCCTGGAATTGATTTCAAGGCTTTTTTCTCCTAAGACTGGTGACTATGGGGGATTTCTGCAAATAGGTTTTCTTTAGTTAGACTAGCTATGCTGCAACCTGTAAAAAAGAAGCACCTTTGCTGCCTTGGGTTCTGTATAAGGCAGGAAATAAATCAAATAATAAATAAATAAATATTGTAAGAACAAAGGATTTTCACTGCCCACAGCATATTATATTCTGTCTGATCACTTCCTGATGTTAAAAAGACCTGGGTCATGAGAAATACATTTTGTTACAGACCTGTTTGATGATTACAGAGAAACAGCATACTGGCTTTGAAGGTTTAGCTGAGTGGAAAGTTACCCTGATAGTACATGTGAAATGTATGTGGCATTGTAACGTTTAGAAAAACTGAATTAGAATGGAAAAGTTGTGAGTTTAAGCCTCTCATCCTCCATATCCTGCCAGGGTGGAAAATAAAAATACATTTCTTAGAATAAACCTGAATGTTTGGATTATCAGTATGGTCTCTTGGACAACATACTTGTGGGGACTTTTCTCCTTAACGGGTTTTTTTTTAGTTTATTGTGAGCACAATTATCACTTTCTTGTAATATTCAACTTTCTCAAGGCCAATGCTGCATTTTTATTGTAAAATGGAACCCATGTAATGTGGTACTAAAGCAATATGATAGTAAAATATGCTTTCAAAATGCATACCTAATATCCTTAGCTCGGCACTGGTGTAAACAGCTCCATGCTTGTTTTCTGCTACACATTGGTACATTCCAGCATCAGACTGATTTACACTGTGGATCATCAGCACACCATTAACCATCTCAATCCTGCTCTGTAATGGGATAGAAAAATAATTCTACAAAAGCACACAAAAGCAGGAAAATGTGTTGGATTTTAGCTTTAAGTGAAAGAAGAATCCGCATTAATGAAGTTAGCGTACGAAATGGAGATGGCTTTTTCTTTAGGTTTTTTTTTTTTACTCTTTGCTAATGCTAAAATAATATGAATGCTTAAATGCAGAGATGTTAAATAGACATTGCCTGGGGGTTATCCTTTTTTCATTCCAAGCATGATTGAAATGGAATGGATAGATGAAATTTCACAATTCCAACATCTAGAGTCTATTCCCTGAAGCACTCTGACAATGAAGATATGAATTCTGCAGATCTGTATAATTTGTGAAACAATCCAAGGAAATCTATTAGCTTGTATGGATGTCCACCTTGAGATGCTTCTCGCTTCTTTGAACAGAAAAAAAACCCCAAGCATCTATAATGTGTTATGTTTGATGGATCATAAGAAGGACAGGTCTCAATAGACAGAACACACTCCTTCTAGTTGTCAACTGCCACTATTGCAGAGTCCTTGTTACATGTGAATGTTTTTGTCCACACCAGAAAACTCCATTGGGAAATGATATCAGCCATTACATCAGAATCCTAGACCTTTATTATCTTCAAAAAATGTTACATTCTATGTCTCATTGCTTCGAAGATATGTATGAAAGTATGCAAATGAGCTCATCTGGATGATACCTGTTGAAAGCCAGAATGTTTTGCTGGCTGTCACAGGTTCTCAGTGTTCTGTATAGACTCCTTCTCTCCACGCCGCTAACAGAAATCAGAATAAAATATTCTAACTAAGCGGATTGTGAATATTTTATTGAGCTGGCTGGTTTTTATTTGAAAGCTAGCTTACCTCGGTAGAGAAATCTGAATTTTGTTTGAGCATAGAGATGCAAATCTTCACTTGTCACATTCCCTCATGAAAAATTTAAAAAATTCAAAAGTGTTCTTGTTGAGTGACTTTTCCACATTTTAATACTTATTCTACACATAAATAATTTCTGTTAAAAATAAACATTCCTTTTTGTACAAAACATTTTGTATGATAGTACTTATATTTTGTGGGAAATGATTTTTTTTGCAATTTTAAAAAAAAATATGATAGGACTTTTTGGAGGATAAAGATAAAATATCTTAAGACAGAAACAATGAATATGAAAATGAGAACATTGACACTTCTCCTATTAATCATGGGAAAATGATCTCACTGTGGTTGTTAGTTTTTTCCTAAGGAAGTGTCTTGATGTGGACAAGAAAAATATTAAATATAGGCCTGTATTCTGTATCAGTGACTTCATTAAGTATACTTAACTATGTAACCTCTCCTGTCTTGACTTCCTCATAGATAAACCTTGAGGTACTTATATTTCTCCCCATGCATCTAATGTCCAATAAAGTGGGTTGATGGAAAAGTTACGATCATGGCATAATGCCAAAATCATGACTGAGTAGAGATCATGAATATGAAATGCTTACCCTGATTTACACCTTGGTAACTGTTTCACATTCATGGAATATTCTACATCATGATTGTGATGCTTTGGTGTGACTGGAGGTCTCCCACATTCTTCTTTACCAGGCATTAGTTACATGAAGAGAAAGAGGTCTCCTCTGCTAGAGAGAATGGTTTTGGAGAGCCAGTCCAGGAGAAGTTACTAAATTAAGTATACTTCAAATTGTTTCCAATTTATGGTGACACTAAGACAAACCTATTACAAGGACTTCTTGACAAAGTTTTCTCAGACAGGTTTTGATCCCCCCCCCCCGCCCGCCCCCCGTGGCTGAGACTTGCTCAAGATTACCCAGTGGGTTTTCATGGCTGACTGGGGATTCAAACTCTGGTCTCCTGGGTCATGATCCAACACTAAAACAACTATACCATGCTTGTTCTCTATAGTTAAGTATTCTTAACTAATGAGTTGATAGAGAATACAAGCCATGCTTTATATCAGTATGCACTACATGCATTTGCCTCTGTGCTGCTGAGACAGAAATCTATTCTGAAATAGGCTAGATGTTAGCTCTAGTTTAGATGTTTCCTCCAAAAGACTTCTAAATTCTTTGAATTTTTATTCAGCTCAAGCAAATATAATGTGACGTATAAGCAAAATAAAACTATAGTTCACTTACCTCTGGCCAGAGAGGGGTTCCATTCTTTAGCCAGCGATAGGTAGGTCTTGGCTTTCCAATAGCTTTACATTCCCATCGAAGCTGATCCCCACTGTCTAACTGGGTATCATTCAGTCTTTCTGTCCAATGTGGGTATGCTGCCAACAGCAAGGAAAGAGGATCATTATGGTATGGAAACATTTAACTTTCATTGCATCAGTTCATGGATGTGGACAAATATTGTTGATAATGAAAAATTTTAAAACTGTAAAAAAAAACATTTGGAAAGCATTGCTCTTGGAATGAATATACTTGATGCCAGCCAACCAAGAGTGGCCAAGAAGAACTTGGTTGCAAAACATGACACAAAGGTAAATTGTCTTGATTGATAAGCCAAATAGGTCTGAACTGATGCTCTTTTGATGCCTTCAAATAATATTTATTATTTATTTATTTGGTGCATTTGTTAACCGCCATTCTCAGCCCCTAGGGCGACTCATGGCGGTGTACAAAC